ATATTCGTTACTTAGGGGTCATCAAGAAGATAGGGCAGGGAGGGCTTGAAATTATGTCTCGAGCCTATTGGGTGTTGCACTTGAATTCTTTCATGGATCAAGAGATTGCAAAAAGGAGTTTGTTAAAAAGAGGTATTTTTATTTATAGTATTTAATAAGGTAGCAATTTTAAATCTTCCTTATCCTTTTCTTATATTAAAGCTAGTGTGATATTGATTATAAGAACCCCACATCTTCAAATGATATGGAATATCGAGAGATAAACATTTCTAAAAATTACTGTTACAGGTAAATGCGCGCAGGTTTGTGACGCGTATCACGTTACGTCACCCTGTTGTCACGAACAGTGGGTGGGAAATTTTAGAGGTGGGAATTTCTAGAACAAAATACAATAGTGGAGAATGTAAACACGTAAACAATAGGCGCATGTATACAGTAAATAATGTATATGCGCAATTCAGTAGCATTTAAAAAAAAAACAAAATAAAGTTTAAGAGCAACTCTTACCTTGTTTTCTTGTGTGCCGAAGTACTTGTAACTTGCACTATGCGACTAAGAGAGGGAACCGAGATTTTTTCCAAGGAAATTGGCACTGGAAGGATTCTAGGTTAGTTGATAGAGAAGTTAAAGTCAAGACCGACTAAATCGAAAACACGCCTAAGAGTTTAAAGAAGCGAACACAGGACTTACCTGGCATTACGCAGAGAAATACCGTTGGTTAGTGACAGACTCGCCGCGCCTGAAATAGCACCACCAATGAGAATCTCATGGAAAGATGAGTTAAATTGTTGTCAATAATTCATTCACAAATATTATTCTTCGGGGACAAAAATACTTCAACGCTTTTTTCGAACTTACATTAATGTTATTAAATAATGATGGAATTTTTTTTTAAACCTCTACTATAGTATCATAAAATGAATTGTGTTGATATTAGGTTAAGTAGTCTTTTAAAGTAGAAATTAACTATTATCATAGCAAGAAAATTATCAAAGATCATCATTTAAAACATTCATACCAAATTATTGCCTAAAACGTTAATTGCCATTGCAAATTTTCTTACTCGATATCACAATATCCTTCCAAAAAACCTCAAGACCATCCACCATTAATCAACAAAATCTGGCCGTGAACGTCTTAAAAAAACAATTAATGATATTGTCGTATTACACATAATAAATTTCTATAAATTGTGAAGAATAGGAAGGCCAATATTTACACATTTGAACTCTTATACTTAACCTTCATCAAATTAGATTGTTTCCTGTATAGCTTGTTTCAAGCCTTTCAGACAAAAATATGGCAAAATTGCTCAAGGAATATCATATCATAATTTAATTTAATGTTTCCAAATGGAATGAGTTTTTTCAACAGGACAACACTTCTGTACATACAAAAAAGGTGGCACAAAATGAACTTATTAATACAAAAATCAAAAAAAAATTCTTCTAAAAATTCAGATCTGAATTTTATCAAGAATATTGATTTATAGTAAAAAATAACATTAAAAAGCATAATTCATATTTTAGCAACTCTTACAAAGTTAAATAAAATGATATGAGATAAATAAAAAAGAATTAATTTCATTATAATCTTATTTATAGTATGCCTGTCATATAAAAGTTGTAATTATGGCAAAAAAGAAGCAATAATGTATTGAATTTTCAAATATAGTCTAATAAATCTGTCTAATATATTTATATTTTAAAAGTTTTAAAAAATATATATTATACTGTTGCATATATATAATTTGTTTAAATAATATTAGTCTATATTTAAAAAAAATATTGAAATATTTTTGTTCTTCTTTTAATATATTATCATATCTATTAATTTTATTTAAATTATATTTGAAGAAGTTTATAAAATTACAGTATATTACAAATAGTACTTAAAGTTTGTTATAGTGATTAATAGACTTTAATGTTTGATATTTTTTATTTAACATAATTAATTAAATCTTTTTTTTTTGAAAATTTGTTTCTTTTAACAAAAAATCTTGATTAAAGTTTGGTTTCTATTTCAAATAATTTATATTAACTTTCAATATTATATGGATTTTGTAAAAAAAATTAAATAAAAATCGAAAAATTATTTATTTGTTAAAGAAATTTTAAAATTTTTTATTAAATAATAAAAGTTTAGAAAATTATTAAAAGAAAATTATAATTATAATAATATATTTTATTTATTTATTTATTTTATAAATAAATATTATTACTTTATTAATTGTATACATAAATAGTTTATATATAAAAAAAAATAATATCTTTTAAAATAAAACATAAGTATTGTTATAAAGTTAAATATTGATTTTTCTATGAAAATAAACTTAAATACAGTATATAGAAAAATAAATATTAAAACTTATATAATTTTTGAAATAATATTAAACAATTATAAATATTTATTTAAATTATTGTAAAATATGTAATTATATCAAAAATAATTAAATACTAAAAATTTATTATTGTATATTAATTAATAAAAAAAATAATAAATAAAATATATATTATTTTAAAACTAAATAATATATGTTAAAAAAATTTTAATATAATATTCTTTTATTATTATTGATAATTATTGTTTTACAATAATTTTTCATTAATATTATCAATCTAATTAGATAATATTTTGAAATTTGTTTTATTTCATTTTTATAAATTGTACAATTAATTTAAATTAAAATATCAAGTTTATATTATTATTTTTGTTTTGATAAAATGAATATAATATATAATATAATATATATAATATATTATATATGTTAAAACATATAATTGTTTACTTAAAATATTAAAATATTACTTTTAAGATAAATATGTTTGTATAACTTGAAATTTCTAAAGAAGTAAATTAATTTTGATTTTTTTTATTAATTAAACAAATTTTTTGATTTTGTTTAGTTAATAAAGAGTTTAATATTTTTTTTAATCTTTAGAATAGTAATAAAATTATTTAATTTATCAAATATAATATAATTTTTTAAAAATTTATATAATGTTTTAAAAAAGTATTTAATCTATATTAATTTAATTATAAAAGTAACAATAAATTAAGTTCTTTTAAAATTTAATTATAAATTAAAAGATTTGATTTATATATTTTTAAATATAAAAAATTGTTTATTTTTTTTTTGAATAATAATTATAAAAAGTTAACTTTAATATTTTTAATATTTAGTATTTAATATTTATTAAATATAGTTTTTATTTAAAACTTTGTTAAATTTTTAAAAAAGAATTATAAATAAAAATTTTATCTATAATATATATTTTTTATAAAATAATTAAATTATATTTAATTGTTTTATTTTTATTATTATAAAGATATTAAAATAACTTTTTTATATCTATATATTAATTGAGAATATAGTAACAAATAATTTATAAAATGGCAAAAAAAATTACAAGTAATGTAATTTAATATTATATATTTATCAAAATATATAAACAAATAATAGCAAATTGAAATTTAATATATAAATTAATCATGTTTTTTTTTGAAAATGATATAATTATTATTATTTTAATAGAAATAAAATTTAAAAATATGTGAATTAAGTAATTTACATTATAAAAACTTTTGTAAATAAATATATTTTTTTAATAATAAAAATATTAAATTAGATTATTTTTTTTATTTTTAAGTAGAAATATTTAACATATAATTTTATCAATATATGAATAATATTAATTTGTATATTAAATATTTTTTATAAAACTATATAATCAAATACTAGTTAATTTATAGTTATGCTTCTTAAAATTTATATTTTATATAATGCTTTTTAAAACAATAAATAAATAAAAAAAAAGTTTTTTTAATTACATTTATTTATTAAAAAAAATATTGTACATATTTTATTATAAATAAATTTTTAATTTGAAAATTTGAAATTTGAAATAATTGAGATAATAAAATTTATTCAACTTTGAAAATTTTATTTATTTTTAATCATATATAAAAAATCTATTGTAATTTATTTTTATTTTTATATTATAAATTGGTCGGACCAAATCTTAAATCAAATAATATTATCTAAAAATAAAATTAATAGGTAAACAAACATACAGCTAATATGCTATCCTATGCCGTATGCTTTTTAAATTTTAAATTTCTATCAATGCATCGTATTTATAAATACACGATAGTTTGTTTTATTTAAAATAAACTTCAAGATTATCTCGGATAATCAATCACAAGTAATTTTCAGTTTACATTAAAATACTGTATTTTTTCTCTGCCAAATTTTTATCGCAAAATGGTTTTTTTAATAAAAATTTTCATGGTCATATATAGATCATGGTAAAAATATTGCCGTGAGATCATTCGAGTCGAACGCTCACCAGACAAATATAATAGGTAAATTTTTTTTCGGACTACAAAACACGAATCCTAATTAGTGCAATTGTGCCGACACCAATGATAGAATTAAAAAGCAAAACGTTCATATCACACCACATTTATGCATCCTTGAGTAATGTACGGGTGAGAGTAACAAGGACGAGAACACCTCATAAATTCCCACTGATCTCTTTTATTCTTTGAGATACTTATAATTGGTTAAACAATGAGAAAAGGTGATATATCGAGAATTAATTAGTCCTTTAGTAGGAAGTTCCATGTACTTAGCGTTTGGGAATTATAAGTAAATCTTTCTGGTAAAACATTCTTACTAGGTGCCTCTGTGTAACAATGTGTCGTAATGTTTAAATATATTGTGTCTTACTGTGCGGATGACACAAGCAAAACCTTAGCCTCAAATACTTGTACTTGTTATAAAAAGGTGAGGCTTTTTTCTTTGTCAACATTCCTAGTTGGAAAATACCTACCGGTTTTTAATTCACTTAAGTTGTATTCATACATTTTCCGCCTTCATTTGTCCTCTCTGTGAGTAGTAATGATCTATCCTTGATTTTTGGTATCCAAGTATTTTTTTCGTAGGATATATGTAATCTTTTTGTAATATATTAGTTTAAAGATCAACTTCGTATAAAATGGCAAACCCACAAAATGAATCTCAAGAGAAAAAGGTTAAGAAACTAGAGAAATACTTAAGGAGGTTCAAGGCTGCGGTAAGCGGCGAGGAGACTTATTTTGTACTATCGTCAAAACACAAATAACCTTGCCCAAAGAGTCAAGTTCGTCATATACGTGCACTTAGCGTTCTATTATTTACTTTTGCTTTCTTTCTTTGACATCCCAACCAATAGGTTCTCCCCATTCCCATCGGGAAACTTAAGGCAACCGATAAGAGAAAATCAACCGGTGAGTCATCTTTTTCTTTATGGCCACATGATTTAACCCTTATTATTCATATAGATATGTATATATATTACTACAATAGACTCAACCTCGAACCAAAACACACATAAATCAACCAACATCGAAAATTCAGCTAAGAAAAACGAGACAGTCATAACAGTCAAAGACAAACCAATAGTTGATATGCCAATCACTAAGAATTCTGGTGAGAACTCGGAAACCGTTGAGAATATCATGGACAATAACCAAAACAAATATTCAGAACCGACCTTAGTACCAGCTACATCTTTTCTCTTGTTAAACAGCCACGACATAATTATTCCTTTGAACACCGATTCTTTCACTTGTCCTCAATGTCACACCCCTCATTCAGTCCATTTTGTTCGTGAGGATACCGAACAAGGTGAATCGAAGGAAATTTACATCTGTTTATCACATGGTAATCATGGTTGTGGATGGGAAGGCATTCAGAAACCAGATGAAAATGAAATCCATGAAAACATCACTGCCAATATTGGCTTCAAACCGTTGAGACTTAATTGAAGGGAAATTCTATTGTTCTTTTTACAGCATGTGAATTATAATATCATCGGTATTTTTCGTGAGGGATGGTAACAATGAATTATTTGGCCAAATAATTGTTAGTAAATATGGGAAATCATTTGTATTCTATGTACTTTTTTTTTTTTTTTTTTCAATAAATAAATCTTGGGTCAATAATAATGACCTTTCACGAAACGGGTTACCAGATCTGATCTGCAATATTTAATTCTTTTACAAATATGGAAATTCATAGGCTTTCACAAACTGTTGTTACTGTTACACTGCTGCACTGCGTGGGAAAATATGCACAGGCATTGGACCGAACATATTACAATATCGAGAAAAAGGAAAAGCAATCAAGTTATGTCAATTCTTTCTTTATTTTGCTCATGAACGTAATCCTCTTGCTGTATGAAACACTCGGTAATAGAAAAAAAAACTAGGCAATCAACAATGAATGCATGATTGGTTCCAACTAAATTCATATTGTCGTCATAGATTTGCGCATCATGCTTTCGATTGTTTACTCAGCCGATTTTCTTGTAATCTTCCAATTCTTGCTTGTAACGCTCCTTTTCTTTGGCGTAACGTTCTTCAAATGGCTAAACGGAATTATAATTAATCAAAAAAATGACCATCCATCATCGAGAATGTCTTATCGGCGATGTGTTACCTTTTTCTCATCCGGACTTAATGTTTTCCATTTTTTAGCAATCTCTTTGGAACGTTCGGTAATTTTAAGCTCCTTATATTCTTCCATATTGTCCATTGCAAATTGTAGGTAAGGAGTCCTCGGCTTTTTGGGTGCCTTTGGATCCCTTAGTGGCCTTTGATTACTCCTTCCCGCCGCCTTTTCCATTCTACGACGTTTATTTTCTAATGCATAAACTTCGGGTGATAAAGATGTCATCCATTTTTGATATTCCACATCATATTGAGATTTGGCTTTTTTATATCTTTCAAAATAAACCTGGATTTTTGAATTAGACGTGTTTATGAGCTCATTGCAACCGAACTTGATAAAATTCGCCCGCTTACATTTTTCTGATCGTCCGACATATTTTTCCAATTACTTCCTCCCAATATAGCAATATCTTTGAGCTTCAGGTCAGGACTATCTGCTTTCGTTTTCTTAACATATTCTGAAAAAAATAAAGTGTAGGGACCTGCCGGTTTTTTAGGAAATTCGAGCGTGGGAATCACTAAATCGAAAAGTTTAGCTGAATAGGTGTTCGATCCACGTGGTTCGAAGAAGTCTCCAAAAAAAGTTAGCTACCTGGTTTCTCTGGTTTTTTTTTCTTTTCCGGCTCACCTTTCGCTTTCACCTTTTTCGTGACTTTCGTAGCCGTGGCATACTGACGTAAGGAATCGATTCTAATTTCGATGTTATTGATAATATACCAGTTTCCTGATAGACGCGCTTTAAGTTTCTGGTTAAGTTGGCGATACATTATGCAATAGCCTAGTATTTATTTTAGTTAAATAATTCCCCACAAAAATTCCTGAATTGTTTACACGTAGAATCAATACTGCAAACCGAAAGATGAATAATGTTTAAAGTGTTTGTGAAAACACGAAAATAATCTTACGCTGTTTGCTCTTGGGAAGATCAATTCAACAAATATGTACTGTGAAAATAAAAGCTGCCAGAGGATGATCTTTATATTGTTTGTGCCGCGTGTAACACAATGCTGCTGAAATATTATTGGTTGAAAATAATATAACGCAGTATGATTAGTATAAAAGTATAAAATAGTATTGCACAGTCAGTTGTTACCTTGAACACAGAATCTTTGATTTATTTCGTGATTACTTGTTTACATTCTAGAAAAATAACTGATCCAAATTTATTAACAGTAAACGTAAACAAAATATGATATGACATAATAATTACCAAAGTTCGGATCTTTAAAATGGAATGTATTAATTAATCACCACTGTATAAAAAAAATAATTACTGTAAATAAACTACTTTGTATTTTTTATTATTTTTATGTTTTAATGACCAATGGTTCAGGAACACCTTATTGTAAAAAAATGTTGGTTTAACAATGTCTTGTCCGAAAAAAATTAAATCGTTATAAACGATGCCATAAAACCCCGAAGGAATTTCCTCAGGAACGTAAAAAATATCTCCGTACATTGAGTTCATTGTTCAACGTAGATAAACCAGAGGATGATTCTCATGTGATTCGGCTAAGGTTTCATTTAAACATGCAGGAGATGGAATAAAAAATCTACGCAGTCTATATCCTTAATCATGAATTACACAAATTTTTTTATACAGATTGTGTACAACCTTTTCAAGTGAACTTTATTATTACAATATATACAGTACACGAAGATTAAATACAATGTGATGCATTCGAGATTACAGATTCTATCTCTAGATAATTATTGACAAGATGACGGTGGTAGCGATGATGACAATAAAGTGCCGGCCTCGGCAAAGCTATTTGACTACATCACACGACTAACCATTTCCTCGTAAAGATATAGAGAGCAAATGAGACATACTTACAGGCTTGTTATCACAACGCTTATTGATAGGGATCCAGTTAACTCGCTCTCGATCCGGGGATTTTTTTAAAAAAATTATTAGGTCGGAAGATCTTTTTCTCTCCTGCCAATTCTCCGGACGTCCACTAAACCACCACTGAATTCTTCGCCATTAAAGTCAGTCTGCGAATTTAGGCCCAATATCTGATATATCCTCATCATTTCATTTATTAAGATTCGATAAGGTCAACCTTTGTCATTCGTAAATTTTGTCTGTCTCTGAAGGGCAGAAGGATACACCTTCTTTCAAAGTCATATCACGTCTTTTTACGAAAAAAATAAAATATACTGCATTAGTTCGACCTTTATTATAAAAGAATAAATATTAAATATTACGCACCTCACCTCATTACACACTCCTGAATGATTTCTCTCCCAATTTTTAGCAAAACGTGAGCGCTCAGATCTGATGTTATAAAGAGTGCATTTTTTATGAATTCCGAGATGCTGTGTTTCGAGCAGTTACCAAATAGACATATCAAATAGTTCTCTTGAGTCAAACGCATTTTGTCACACAAAGCCTTGTATTTTTTCGACTTTTTCAAAAATTAAATGCTCAAAAGATATTTAAAAAGATCCCGATAAAATATTACTGAAGATTTCATAGACGAAAAAACAGCTATAATATCTCAGCAATGTAATAGAAAGTCCAAGAACGAGTTATTTTTACGTTTCGTGAAATACGAAAAGAGTGCATTATAGCCAGTATAGGTTTTTAAATATTTTAACAAAAAGTGCGAAAAAAAAATTCGTGCACTATCAATCTCACCGCGTCATAAACGTGCGGATGACATCGTTGCACAACCACGATTTTATAATAATTAATAATATTTAAAATACACCCATATAAAATTTTAAAAAGCCTTTACTTAGAAAATTTGTATTTGAAATTTGTATTTAATATAATATCTGTACTTGGGCGTGTATACATTTAAAGAGATATACTGTATATGTTTTTTTTGTAATTCGTAGTTAAGAAAATTTTATTAATATAATAAACTCTTTTGATAATAAACTGTTTCAAAAAATGATTTTTTTAAATATTATAATTGAATTACTTTATAGTTGTATCGTAAAAGACGTGTCTTTGGATCTTCGTATCCAAAGAATTTAAAACGCGAATTAAATTATAATAATGATTTATTTTTTTTATTTATTGATTTACTAATAAAAAAATTATATGACTTGATTTTATTTTATTTTAAAATAATAATTTTTTTTTTTTAAATATAATCAACCTTTGTTGTCAGGTTACATATGACAATGTATTCCTTAAATTGTAAAAATTTTTTTAAAAAATGTTTAAAATTTTTTAACTAAAAAGTTACTCCTTATTAATTTTTTTAAATAATTAAAATATTTTTTAAAAAATTTATATAATATTTGTTTTAATTATATATTATCTATTGATAGTATTTGTTTTTTTATTTACGTATTTAAAATTTATTTATAAGCAAATAATTTTTAATTTTTAAAATAAATTTTTTAATAAAAGTTAATTTTAGATAAACTTAAAATTTTTTTAAATTAAAGTTTATATATATAATTTACTGTATAAGCAGTTTTGTAGAATTATTTGTAAAAAATAACTTTAATTATTATAATTTTTTAATAAAAAATTTAACCTGTATTAAAAATAAAATAATTTTTTATATTTAAATTTTAAACATAAAGTTTAAAATTATTTGTTTTAAAAATTTTCAATAACATTTTAATTTTTTATTTAATAAAGTTAATTAAAAATATTTTAAATTATATATATATTTAATTATTTATATTTAATTAACTAAAATATTAGATGCAAGACTTTATTAATATTTGTATATTTTGTTATTATATCAAATATCTTTACAGATTAGATTATTGTTATTCTAAAATATAAATTAATACTATTTAATAATTATTGTTTACAAGTTTTATAAATCTATAGTATAATGATAATATTTTACAAATCAAATTATAAGATACAGATTTAACTTCATATAAGAACAATTAAATAAAATTAATATAATATCTAATATTATAATCTATTAAAAATATTATTTTTCATAAAAAATTATTTTATATATTAATTCAATAAGTATTAAGATTATGATCACCAGAAAAGATATTATGACATAATAATTGTCTGGTTAATATTATTAGAAAATTTCCAGAAAAATTTTCAAAAATCTTCAAAAGTTTTTAAAAATTTTTAATATAAAAGTTTTTAAAATAATAAACTCCAGAAATTTTTATTTCAAAAAAATTTAAAATCTTTAAAGTAATAATAATCATATTAAAATAAATATTTATTTAATAAATATTCATTACTTTTACCAAATCTTGAAATTATATGAATTAAATTATCTATTGTAATTTAAGATATGCACAATCATACATATATAATAATTTTTTTGATTTAAAATCATACCATTATACTAATACTAATTGAAGTGGAGGTCTTTAAATTGATCCGTTTATCTTTATTATTAATAAATTCTAAAAAAATTATATTAATCTTAAAATAAAATAATATTTATATTTTAAATAATTATAATTATCTTTCCATAATAGATTCTATCATCTGTCATATCATAACTATCTGAAGAATCTTCTAATAAATTAATATTACAAGAATTATTATTAAAGAGATAATTATTTTCAAGAGAATTTGAATTCTCTACAAAAGTCTAAAGATAAATAATTATTAATTAATAAAAAAATTATATCATAAAAATACCTCCAAAATGCTCTATATATCTTTAATATTATTAAAAATAATAGTAAATTTTGACTCATTTAAATCTTCATTAGACTTATTATTAGAGTTCACAGTTAAAATACATTTGCTAACATGCCTTGTATAAAATAAATTTTTTGAAAAGGTGTATTGACAAAATTGACATTTGTAATTTATTTTAAAAACCTTTGAAGTAATCTAGAAAATGTATAAAATTAATCAATAAAATATTAATTAATTTTAACCAATTAAAAATTTAATTTATAAGTTGCAATAATTATATCAATAAAATGATAAAATGATTTCATTTTCATATAATGACTTAATGATTTAAATTTTTGAAGTAATTTTTGAAAGGTGATAAAAAAAAGTTTGCAGTTATAATATGATATAATTTCTTGGAATTTGTATTATATAAGGTCTCTAAAGTTCCCACTTTTTCTTTAATATTAAACAAAAAACTAGAAATGCATAAAATGTTTCAAAAACTTATTTCTGGTTCTGCCAAAAAAGAAAAAGAAAAAAGTCAAAGAAGTACTTTAAAGTCTTCTAAAAAGACAAAGAGCATTCAGGGAATACAAGGCTCAACTACTGAACAAAGATCCTCAACTTCTATTGAATTGGAAACAGAAATATCTTGGAAGTGATTAAGATTCCTTGGACATTTCTTCAAATCATCTTTTGACACACTAGCATGGAGAATGTTTGAAGAAACTTTGGATATATTTAATAATTTGTTATAGTTTAAAATAAATACTAACTTATATATTTAGTTCCTAATAAAGCTATTGAAAAAATTATAAAGTCTCACGAAGGTCTTTATAAGAAAATCGATCAATTGTTGGAATGGCAAAAAATTATAGAGAATAAGATTATCCACCTAAAAAATGAAATTCATGAGAGTCAACATTTAATTACCAAATATGATTTTATCAAGATAATGTTCATTTTTGAATTTTTTTAAAGATTTTTAAAAATTTATATTTTATTTAAATAGCGCGCAATTAAGAGTATTGCAAAACAAATATTTTTTGAAAAAATATATCCGGATCATAAAGATTTTCACCAAACAACCAATGAATTTTTTCAACAAGAACATTTAGAATTCTATGAAGGCCTCACAAGAAAATGCTGGAAAATATATTATAAAAAACATATTCATCAAGTGGT